AATATGAGGTTCATAGGTCCAAGAGTCAGATCCTGCTTTAATGATTAATCTGGACTGCTGGGTTGATGTCATTATCTGAAGCAAAATATTTTAAAAATCCCTTAAAACTGAACCAAAACCATAAAATGCCAAAACTTACTCTGTTAATTGGTAAATGTGTGGATTAATCTGTGACTCTCAGAGATTTCTGAACTCAATAACCAATTAAAAATATATAACTACACCACAACAAATGTTTCACTTTTTATTTATTTATATATTTTTTTTGTCGAAATATCTAAAAATCCTTAAATGAAGAAGCATTTTCTAGACAAGCAAAACACTTTGTTTTGTTTTAGGAAATACGATTGACTCAATATTAAAGCATTTTTTTCTCAATATTAAAAATATTATCTCTTTGTATTATATACTTATTATTGTATATTATATTATTATATTATATTATTAATAAATATTATATTATGTCTTCTAAATAAAATGCCAAAAATTAAGTGAGTTTTTCCTTAAAACTAGCTAAATAATCTGCCAATGGGGTCAGGAAAATAATGCTATGTTCGCAAAGCAATAAACAAGATTATTTCTTTCACTCCATTGGCAGAGTATTTAGCTAGTTTTAAGGAAAAACTCTTAATTTTGCCGTATTATTTCCGAAAACAAGACAATATTCTTAATATTGAGAAAAAAACGTTTTAATATTGAGTCCTGTAATTGTTTTGTGGAATTTTGAACTCTTTAATTTTAACATTTCTAAAAACAACACCATTTTCCTTGTCTATAAATTTCGTCCTGATTTAATAATGTTTCGATATTTGCATTAGAAACAGTAAGAACATTTTCCCCCCGGCGTATGTACAAGTGTGAACCATAGATCATCCTGATGAACTGTTATAAACAGAAATGTTATCAGCTCTTCAGTGTCGTCACTGCAGTGTGTTCGTAGATTGAACTTCGGCTTCATAAAGTGTGAACTGTGGGCACGTTGTGGAAGATTTATGGCATTAGTCCATAATGAGATGAGTGTTGAGCGTGTGACTTCTCTGAGAGCGACACTTCACACACATTCACACACACCTAGAAGTAGGATTAAACATTTTGGATTTTGAATGGTTACTGAAAGGCGAGAGGCATATCAGCCTGATCTCACAAGGAGACATAACTATTTCAGGGTTTGTCAGTTTCAAGAGTTCACATTTACAGCAGCTGATGATTGATAATAAAGCAAGAGACTATTAGGGGTTGCCATGTAGACATGAACCAGTATATACTATACTATACCAACTATACCAGCATATGCGGTGAACGCCCAGTACTAAAACACTCATATACTGTGCCAATTTGGTTTATTCGATTCACTTATACTGGATGTCTTTGGACTGTTGGAGGAAACCGGAGTACTAAGGGAAAACCCACACGAGCACAGGGAGAACATGTAAACTCTTCACAGAAATACCACCTGACTTAGCTAGGACTCAAGCCAGCGAACTTTTTGCTCTGAGGCAACAGCGCTAGCCACTGAGCCGCCGTGCCACCCTGTCCAAGATTAGTCTATGATAGAGGGGGAGGAGTAGGGGTGGATCAAGGTTATAATAGTTTTTGATTATTTCGTTTTGACTTGTTGTTTTCAAATTCATTTATTTTTCATTAGTTCTTAGAGGGAGATGTACTCGTTTTTATTAGTTTCTATATTTTGAAATTATTTAGTTTTAATTTAATTTTTATTAGTTTCAGTATTAGTTTTAGTTTTTTTCTAAATAAGCATGTTTGTTAGGTGCAAGACTCAAAATCATCAGGTTAAATATTAAAAAATTAATAAATAATAAAAACTCATTCAGGGGGCGAAGCAGTGGCGCAGTATGTAGTGCTGTCGCCTCACAGCAAGAAGGTCTCTGGGTCGCTGGTTCGAGCCTCGGCTCAGTTGGCGTTTCTGTGTGGAGTTTGCATGTTCTCCCTGCGTTCGCGTGGGTTTCCTCCACAGTCCAAAGACATGCAGTACAGGTGAATTGGGTTGGCTAAATTGTGAATGTGTGTGTGGATGTTTCCCAGAGATGGGTTGCGGCTGGAAGGGCATCCGCAGCGTAAAAACTTGCTGGATAAGTTGGCGGTTCATTCCGCTGTGGCGACCCCGGATTAATAAAGGGACTAAAGCCTGATTTATACTTCTGCGTCAGGTGACCGGCGTAACCCACGGCGCAGGCAACGCCCGTAGCTGTGCATTTATACTTCTGCGCGCTGTCTCTGTTGGTCTGCATTAACACTTCCGAAACGCTAGTTGGCAGTGAGGTGTAAATGTTCCTCTGTGTCGAGTTTCTTCGCTGCTGTTTTGCTTTTCCTGAACACTTCCTGGATGTACAAGTGGCTCAAACTCACTCATTTAGAGGCAGGAACCGGCGGACGTGCAACAACTTTAACTATGAGGTAAAAACAAAACAAAACTTTCCATCCGGAGCTCCTTCACGGGACTCCACACTTGTAAACAATCGCTCGCGCGGCGTCACGCCATTCGCGCGACTCTCGGTCCCGCCCAGACTCGTCAGCGCTACCAACCAATCACAGAGCTTACGCTACGCGTCGTTGCGACGTGTAGTTACATTTTTTGAGATGTGCACGTCAGTGATGGCGATGGCCACGGCGAAGGGCTATGCGTCAGCGCCGTAGCATACGCCGGTGTTTGACGCAGAAGTATAAATCAGCCTTAAGCCGACAAAAAAAATGAACGAATGAGTAAAAAACTCCTACACATTTTGAAACTAGTATTCAGAGGACACGTGAACCCTGTCATCTACCACTGCCATCTACCCATCCTCAAATTCACATACAACAGCACACAAGACAGCAGCCTTGAGTTCAATATGTGTGCAAGGCTGCTCTGAGATTAGATACACAGTAGTGATGGGAAGTTCTGCATGATTGGGATGCAGTTCAACAGATGATTCATGGGATAAATTCACCTTCTGCCACTTTTGCGAATGCTCAACTAGAAGTCCAGTTATTATTTGTTGCTCTTACAACTGAGATCCACAACAAGACTTTGGTCAGGTAGTGTAAACATAAGTGTTTCTAGCTCTTCCTGTTCTGTGCTTTTGAAGCACTGTGGATTATTTAGATTTAGTGGAATGTTTAATGAATTTGAATACTACAAGACGGATGTCCTGATGTCCGTTTCTAATTGAATTGTAATTGTCTTCAATGATGACTCTCATCACTGTAATATAATGAAGAGCTGCGTTCTGTTTGGACACAATTATTAGTCAGGGAGGGAAGAAGTTTTGTTTGTATGAGCGTGTATATGGGTATATTTGTGTGTGTGTGTGTGTGTGTGTGTGTGTGTGTGTGTGTGTGTGTGTGTGTGTGTATGAATGAGTGTGTGTTTGAGCTCGCCTCATTACTCATCATTTAATCTTCCATCAAATGCTCTGTCAGTGAACTGAGCTGATATTAGAGCTGACAGTGTCTGTGAGTCTTCACATCGTTAATTACACCACCACACTAAATAACCGCTAATTAGCTTTTACCATTCATTAACAATCACGGTATTCTCCACAAACGGCCTGAGACGTTCATCTGGAGCAGAGATCAGACTGACATGAGTTGCAGGAAACACACACACACGCAAATACACACCAGAACAGACACAACCACACAGACACACACACACGCAAGCATGCTCACAAAAAAACACACACACACGCTTAAAAACACTCATTCAAACAAACACACACACAAGCACACTCACAAACACACACACAAGCACACACACACTAATACATACACACCCAAGCACACACACCCAAACATTCACACAAGAACAGACAAAAATTCACACACACAAACACACACACACACGCATGCTCACAAACAGACACACACAAGCACGCTCACATGCACACACACTAATACATACACACACACTCAAACATACACACCCAAGCACACACACCCAAACATGCACACAAGAACAGACAAAAATTCACACACACACTCAAACATAAACACACACACACAAACACACACACACATGCACGCTCACAAACAGACACACACAAGCACGCTCACATGCACACACACTAATACATACACACACACTCAAACATACACACCCAAGCACACACACCCAAACATGCACACAAGAACAGACAAAAATTCACACACACACTCAAACATAAACACACACACACACAAACACACACACACATGCACGCTCACAAACAGATACACACAAGCACGCTCACACGCATGCACATACACAAACAAACACTTAATACATACACACACACTCAAACATACACACCCAAGCACACACACCCAAACATGCACACTTAAACATAAACACACACACACACACACACACACACACACACACACACACACACACACACACACATTCACCCAAACATGCACACAAGAACAGAGAAAAATTCACACACACACAAACACACACACACATGCACGCCCACAAACAGAAACACACAAGCACGCTTACACGCACAAACACACACATACACACACACATTAATACATCCACATACACACTCAAACACACACACACAAGCACACACACCAAAACATGCACACAAGAACAGACAAAAACTCACACAAACACTCAATAATATGCACACACACAAACACACACTCAAAAGCACTCATTCAAACACACACATACACAAGCCCGCTCAAAAAACACACACACAAACACACTCAAAAACACTCATTCAAACACACACTCACACACAGACAAACAGCTGTTTTTATTTGTGCAGAAATCCGCTGTCCTGGATTCTGAGTGTGTGAGCAGCAGCCAGATGTGTGTTTTTAAGGGTTGTTCCAGTTCGCTGATCTCTCTCTCGCGCACACACACACACACACACACACACACACACACACACACAGAGGAATAAGCCCCTGTCCATTCCAGAGCAATTATTCAAGCTGGCATGAGGATGGAGGAGGAGCTTGAGTCGGCCAATCTCCCACCAGCCCCCCTCCACACACACACACACACACACACACGCTTGCATAATCGCAGTGGAGCGAGAGGCAGTCACACGCTCTGTCTCTCTGTGTGTGTGTGTGTGTGTGCCGCTGTCAGCATGGCTGGATCTCAGTGCTCCTCTGTCTGAAGACTGCGGTGTGTGTGTGTGTGTGTGTATACGTGATGGGGCAGTTGTGCTGCTTCCCTCTGTCTCGACCCCAGGATAAGCTCAGTAAGTGTCTGAAAAAACCCTAAAATCTTGTGTGCTTCTCTGCTGGTGAGCGTCGCGAGCATCTGATCGCTGGGCTGCGGGTGGAAACATCGCTGTCTGTAACATGATGATGATGATCTGTGGTGATTTCTGCTCTGCTGGGGTCTGTGTGGTGGGATTGTCTGCATGTGGGAGCCTCTGATGGTCATGTGTCAAGCTGTCATGGTTTTAACCTTTATTTCCTAATGATTAATTGTCTAAGAAGTTATTGCGGCTGTGTGATTGTCTGAGAAATGCGAAGGAAAAATTGGTATTGTGCGATTAATTGTCTAGTGAGTAATTGTGATTATGCGATTGCCCAAGGAGTCATTGCGATTATGTGAGTAATTGTCTTAGAATTCATTGTGATCATGCAAGTAATTGTCTAGGAAGTAATTGCGAATATTAGTTTGTCTATAGAATAATAGCGAATATACAATTAATTGTCTAAGAAGTAATTGGTATTATGTGATTGTCTAATGAGTAATTGCGATTATGCCATTAATTGTCTAGGAAGTCATTGCTATTATGCGATTGTCTGAGAAGTGATTGCCATTATGCAATTAATTGTCTAAGAAGTAATTGGTATTATGTGATTGTCTAATGAGTAATTGCGATTATGCCATTAATTGTCTAGGAAGTCATTGCTATTATGCGATTGTCTGAGAAGTGATTGCCATTATGCAATTAATTGTCTAGGAAGTAATTGCGATTATGCGTTTGTCTAGGAAGTAATTGCGATTATGCGTTTGTCTAGGAAGTAATTGCGATTATGCGTTTGTCTAAGAAGTAATTGCGATTATGCGTTTGTCTAAGAAGTAATTGCGATTATGCGATTAATTGTCTAGGAAGTAATTGCGATTATGCGATTGTCTAAGGAGTAGTTGTGATTATTCGATTAATCGTCTAGGAAGTCATCCCAATTATGCGATTGTCTAAGAACTATTTGCGATTATGCGATTGTCTAAGAAGTAATTGCTATTATGCAATTGTCTAAGAAGTAATTGCGATTATACGATTAATTGTCTAAAAATTAATTGCAATTATGCAATTGTCTAGGAAGTAATTGCGATTATACGATTAATTGTCTAAGAAGTAATTGCGATTATGCGATTGTCTAAGAAGTAACTGCAATTATGCGATTAATTGTCTAGGTATTGTCTAGATGTAGTTGTGATTATGCAATTAATTGTCTTAAAAGCACTTGCGATTATGTGATTAATTGTCTAAAGTATTTACGATTAAGTGTCTAAAAAGTTATTGCAGATATGTGATTGTCTAAGAAGTCATTGGAATTATGCGATTAGTTGTCTAAGTAATTGTGATTATGCAATTGTTTAAGTAATTGCGATTGTGCAATTAATTGTCTAAGATGTCTTTTCCGTTATGTAATTAGTTGTCTAAGGAGTAATTGCGATTATGTGATCAATTGTCTAAGGAGTAATTGCAATTATACGATTGTCTAATGAGTAATTGCGAATATGCGGTTGATTGTCTAATAAGTAATTGCGATTAATTGTCTCATGAGTACTTCCGATTATGTGATTAATTGTCTAAGAAGTAATTAAAATTATGTGATTGTCTTATGAGTAATTGCGATTATGCGATTGTCTAATGAATAATTGCGTTTATGCGAGTAATTGTCTCAATCGTAATTGTGATTAATTGTCTTATGAGTACTTTCAATTATGCGATTAATTGTCTCAGAAGTAATTGCGATTAACTGTTTTATGAGTGCTTTCGATTATGTGATTGTCTAATTAGTTGTGATTATGTGATTAATTGTCTAAGAAATAATTGCAATTATGCGATTGTCTAATGAGTAATTGCAATTTGTGCGATTGATTGTCTATAAAGTAATTGTGGTCATACGATTAATTGTCTTAAAAAGTAATTATGAATAATCATCTAAGAAGTTACTAGAGTTGTGTAATTAACTAAAAAGTAATTGCAATTATGCGATTGTCTAGGGATTAATTGCAATAATGAGAGTAATTGTCTAAGAATTAATTGCGCGTTTTGATTATGTGATTGCCTAATTGTGAATATGTAATTAACTAAGAAGTAATTGTGATTATGCTATGAATTGTCTAAGAAGTCATTTCAATTATGTGATTAATTGTCTTTTGAAATTTGAAAGTGAAAGTAAAAGGCATGTGTGTTTGAAACAGTGCCTCTATATTTTGGTCCCCCTTGTGGCAATAATAAGAGTGACAACTGAAACAACCACGGCTGGATTAAATAACACAATTAGATGGCATCACCAGACCACAAAAAGGCCTGATTGAAATCTGGATTTAATAATGCTCCTGTCTAGCTTGAGGCTAAGGATCTGATCTGATTTTTGCATGGATGAGATAGGATGGGATGGCAGCAGCACGTGCATCATTGTGTTGTGAAAGTTAACTCTATCTTTAATGAGGCTCCATCAGTCTGTGAAGGGAGAGGGTTTTGGTGGAAAGACGTTTTTTTGAATGTCTTACATGTTGTCTAGTAGTTGTAGTTCTCCTTTGTCTTTTTTACAGTATGCTTATCGTGTTTATTCTCCATTGGTCCTCTCAGTTGTGTCTGTTGCCCATGTGCAGTGTCACGTGACCCTCAGGTGGAAACAGAAATATGTGTCTCGGTGATACAGATTTGTGATGTTGGGTAGAAACAACAGAAAACAGCAATTCTGTAGGCTAGTTTTTAACAACAGAAACAGCTATAGGCCAGTTTTGAACAGCAGACGAGACAGTGCTCTAGGCTAGTGTTTAACATCAGACGGCACTCTAGGCTAGTGTTTAACAGCAGACGGCGCTCTAGGCTAGTGTTTAACAGCAGACGGCGCTCTAGGTTAGTGTTTAACAGCAGACGGCGCTCTAGGCTAGTGTTTAACAGCAGACGGCGCTCTAGGCTAGTGTTTAACAGCAGACAGCGCTCTAGGCTAGTGTTTAACAGCAGACGGCACTCTAGGTTAGTGTTTAACAGCAGACGGCGCTCTAGGCTAGTGTTTAAGAGCAGACAGCGCTCTAGGCTAGTGTTTAACAGCAGACGGCACTCTAGGTCAGTGTTTAACAGCAGACGGCGCTCTAGTCTAGTGTTTAACAGCAGACGGTGCTCTAGGCTAGTGTTTAACAGTAGATGGCGCTCTAGAGGAGTCTTTTACAGCAAACGCCGCTCTTGGTGGCACTCTAGACTAGTTATTAAAAGCAGACAGCGCTCTAGGCTACTGTTTAACAGCAGACGGTGCTCTAGGCTATTGTTTAAAACACACAGCGCTCTAGGCTAGTGTTTATCAGCAGATTGTGCTCTAAGCTAGTTTTTAACAACAGATGGTGCTCTAGGCTAGTTTTTAACAGCAGACGGCGCTCTAGGCTAGTGTTTAACAGACGGCGCTCTAGGCTAGTTTTAACAGCAGATGGCGCTTTAGACTAGTTTTCAACAGCAGACGGCGCTCTAGGCTAATGTTTAACAGCAGATGGTGCTCTAGGCTAGTTTTTTAAAAGCAGACGGCGCTCTAGGCTAGTTTTAACAGCAGATGGCGCTCTAGACTAGTTTTAACAGCAGATGGCGCTCTAGGCTAGTTTTAACAGCAGATGGCGCTCTAGGCTAGTTTTAACAGCAGATGGCGCTCTAGACTAGTTTTTAAACAGCAGACGGCCCTCAAGACTACTTTTTAACAGCAGACAGCGCTCTAAGCTAGTGTTTAACAGCAGACGGAGCACTAGACTAGTTTTTAACAGCAGACGGCACTCTTGCCTAGTGTTTAACAGCAGACAGCGCTCTAGGCTAGTGTTTAACAGCAGACGACGCTCTAGGCTAGTTTTAACAGCAGCCAGCGCTCTAGGCTAGTTTTTAACAGCAGCCGGCGCTCTAGGCTAGAGTTTAACAGCAGACAGCGCACTAGGCTAGTGTATAACAGCAGACGGCGCTCTAGGTTAGTTTTTAAAAAGCAGATGGCGCTCTAGGCTAGTTTTAACAGCAGATAGTGCTCTAGGCTAGTTTTAACAGCAGATGGCCCTCTAGGCTAGTGTTTAACAGCAGATGGTGCTCTGGGCTAGTGTTTAACAACAGATGGTACTCTAGGCTAGTGTTTAACAGCAGACGGTGCTCTAGGCTAGTTTTAACAGCAGATGGCGCTCTAGGCTAGTTTTAACAGCAGATGGCGCTCTAGGCTAGTTTTAACAGCAGATGGCGCTCTAGGCTAGTTTTAACAGCAGATGGCGCTCTAGACTAGTTTTTAAACAGCAGACGGCCCTCAAGACTACTTTTTAACAGCAGACAGCGCTCTAAGCTAGTGTTTAACAGCAGACGGAGCACTAGACTAGTTTTTAACAGCAGACGGCACTCTTGCCTAGTGTTTAACAGCAGACAGCGCTCTAGGCTAGTGTTTAACAGCAGACGACGCTCTAGGCTAGTTTTAACAGCAGCCAGCGCTCTAGGCTAGTTTTTAACAGCAGCCGGCGCTCTAGGCTAGAGTTTAACTGCAGACAGCGCACTAGGCTAGTGTATAACAGCAGACGGCGCTCTAGGTTAGTTTTTAAAAAGCAGATGGCGCTCTAGGCTAGTTTTAACAGCAGATAGTGCTCTAGGCTAGTTTTAACAGCAGATGGCCCTCTAGGCTAGTGTTTAACAGCAGATGGTGCTCTGGGCTAGTGTTTAACAACAGATGGTACTCTAGGCTAGTGTTTAACAGCAGACGGTGCTCTAGGCTAGTTTTAACAGCAGATGATGCTCTAGGCTAGTGTTTAACAGCAGATACATACAGTTAATGTAAACAGCCTCCTACAAACATTCCTATAATTCACTTAAACCTTTATTAATGTTATTATTGATTTTATTTTATATTCAATAATTTAGTTTGATTCTGAAAATGTTCTTGACAAAAAAGTTGATTATTTTGAGCAATATTCACTGAAAGATTCTTTGTGGGGCCAGCATTACCTCTTCTGCTTCACTGCTGTATGAATGCTCTCCTGAATGTTTATTTCGAAGAGTGT